ATATCAAAATCTTTAAGAAGCGAAATCGAAAAAAGGGAAAGAAAGCAAAAGGGTCTTCATTTTAAAGATTCTAGTTGTTCATGTAAAATGAGTCCGCTAATTATTACACACATTTCATGTGTAATACTACACTTTGCTAATAACAAAAATTAAATGGAATAAATTGAATGAAGGATAGGTGTTATTTCTGTCTAATATTACAAAGGAATACACGTATTTTGATATGCTTGAGAGTAAATTACGATAACGGCATCTTCAACTATAGTTAATGGAACTCTCACAGTAATTGTAAATAGTGTATATGGCAATTTACAGTCAAGACATGAATAAATCTAGATTAAATTACAGTCTTATCATATCGTATAAAATTGTGTTCGTCTTTCATAAGTGAATAGTATTCGGTTCAAATACAGTACATTACAGAACGTCTGTGGAGATAAGCAATTACAACAAATTGAGCACATATTCTAGGAAATTCACAAATTAAATGTTTTAATTTGCAACCGTCTGCAAAGTTAACAAAGTCTTGTGAGAGAAATATGTTTCAAAATATATTTGTTCAATATGGCGCAATGTTACAAGACACGTTTTTCGTCTTTTTCGTTGTTTGAGGGACAAAATCGACATATCATCTGTTCAAACATTTTTCCTATAAAGCGACCAGTTTCTATTCTAAGTGCCAATATACCGCTTCAAAACTGGATAAACAATAAACGTTCATAGATTTATGTATTTTTCATATTCATTGTTTGATTGAAAGTGTCGATAAGTTGTCATTTCTGCAACAGTTTTGATTTCACTTGACTATTTCTCTGAGTAGAAGTTAGTAATTCTATCACATGCCGCCGACAGTATAATCGTCAAAAACTTCTCTTAATTCAATGTTATCGACGTTTTGTTTAACGTCACTGGAACAATAGATGTTCTCCGGAACTCGGTACATGTGACTTTATTCCCCCAGGTAATCCGTAGGTACCAAACTTTTACCAGAACAGAACAGAACAGAACCGTTATAGCTTCACGGTGTACTACCCGTCACAATACATTATTCAACCTGTTGCGCTTATTTTCGAAATTGTACTGTAAAAGTAGCGTACTAATGCCAACTTTACAATAGTTACCACATTCTTTGAAGTCTGTTTTAAGAGTATATAATTAAGTGCATTTTTACAAAAGCAACCTAACTTTCTTATTGAAGTGTGTAAATTTCTGTAACTCATAATCAGTACATCTATTTTGATTGTAGTTTATTTTTAATTAAACAATGTTTGATAATTAATATAAATAAAAACTTTTTTTATTGTTGTGAAAACTATCTAGAAAAAAAGAAAAGGAATCCGAACACCAATATCATTTATTCAGTCGTTTACGCTCTACAGACGTTAAAAGTGTTGTTTACGTGAAGTCATAATGTTGTGCCAAACAGCACGTGCAAAAACAATCAAATCAAGAACGCCATGTCGCAAACGAGGATAATTTCACATTTATTTCACTATTAATACTTTGTATTTTGCTTGAAAAATATAAAGTTAAATGAAATAAACAAACAAATTTTTATCAACGTTTTCAAAATTCGTTGTTCTCAATTATGTATCTACACACGATAGATTAAACGCCAGTTTTTTTCTAACCCACTGGAACAGCCTTTAAAGAACGTTTCTATTTGAAACTCAGAATCGAAAACAAATTTAACCACCAACTTCAACTATGCACTGAAAATTTCCTAAACATCACCAATAATTTATTGAATCATTGGCAGTGAGCCTTAGGAAAATTCTATATAATGTTATATTTAAAGTATCCCGACATAAAGGAGTGTTGCATTCTGGCAATTGTACATATATAGTGATTGTGTATTTTGTTTCGAAGTCGAAGTACTACTTTATGTACATTTTGCTACTTTTGTGACAACTAAGTTCTCATTCATGATCAGCTCTTATTCTTTCTTGGTCACAAGCATCTAACAAACTCTAAAATCATTATTTGAACCCACTCAAATTCGTGTGTTCCGTTTCTAAAGGGATACATATTAAAATATTTCAAAAGTAATCTGTCTTTAAGTAATGAGCCAATATATATGCAAAAAAGCATAAAAGTGTTACGAAATAGAAAAAAAATGTCTTTGACGTATATTGTAATGCAAATTATTCTGTGACATACAAACGTTTGACTTTTCTATTAATGTACGGCAGATACAAATATTTAAACTGTAAAATGATATTTACGTAGTTACAAATTTGCACATCAAAAATGTGAAATTAACGCACGGAATTCTGTGAAATGGCTATATCCTCACTTCAGAGAAACATTTTACGCTTGAATTATGTACAACGATTAAATAACTGAACCCATATGTTTAAAAAGAATTACCCATGAAACCATGACAAATTTCTTAACAAAGTGTTTAAGATAAAGACATAGCTTGAAGGTTTAGGCCTAATAATCATGACGAACAAATAAAATGATAATAAGGGTAGATAAAATTTAAATTTGAGACATACAGTTTTTAAAAGGTCCTGGCGGAGGGGTTTCAAATAAAGCTAGTAAAACTTAATTGCAAAATGTTTTTTCAAGTTCATTTGTCAGGCATTCCTTGGGGTAGGTTTGAACTTTTATACAAAAAGTAAACCAGTTACCTTTTTAATAAAATAATTAAGGTGTAAATAAATCAGTTTATAAATGACCATGATCATTACTGTTCGTGAAACTCATGAAAACAAGCAAAATATTTATTTATTCTTTATTATAGTCTGATCTATACATACATATACAATTAAAACAATGTACATACAGTGAATTGTACAGCCATGCTTTTAAGAATTATAACAGACTGTTCTAGTTTATAAAAGGGGCAACTCCACAGTCCACATTACAGAGATCTATAATATATACTGTAGATTTACCTCCCTTATTTACATAATTATACCCATTTACATGTTAATATAAACACATCATAATATCTCTAAGACATTTATAAGTAAAACAGCATATTCCAAGCATTGAATGTTATACTTAATATAATTAAAATGTACTAATATTTATACCTACAACATAACTGTATGAGTAATTACATTAGGGTTGTTAATATTAAAATGGAAGAATGAAATCTCATTACTTTACTAAACCCCAAATGATTGTCTTCTTATAAATGTACTAAACTCATTTATACATACTTATTTTATTTTATCTTTATACAATCTAAAAGTTTGGTAACAACCACTGACCTCAACTTAAAATCTGCCATAAGGTATTCGTTATTAAAATACTGAGTTTAGTAAATGTGGCACTATTGCGCATAATAAAAAATGTCTTACAAAATCATATATCACTCATGGTCAGACCATGGATGAACTGGTCAGTGGTGATTATCACGACAGGAAGATAAAATTTTCTAGTTGGTTTAAAAAACATTTATATCATTTATACATTAAAAGTTATTTTGCTATTAAAATGTTCATTTTAGGCAGGAGGTGAGACACACACATCATCAACTTCAAATTTTTGAAATTACTAATGTGTGTTGTCACCCTCCATCTAAAATGAAGCAATTAAAATATATATTTATTGGTACAATAAATCTCTTCTAACATTAAGTATTTCGTAGCAGGATTTTGCAGTATATTTGACAATATCATCATTTGACAAGAGGAAGCAAAGCTTGGCAATATCATTATAAGAATTAAACAAAGTACAATTTTCAGCCGCATTTTCAAATAATTTATTGCGAATATCAGTGTACTGGGGGCAATGCAATAATACGTGCATCTCATCTTCGATGCCATTATTACAAATAGGACATACTCTATCGTTAACATTTAATCTTTCGTATCTGCCAATCTCCAATCTGATTGGTGCAACACCACATCTAAATTTAGCCAATGCTGATCTATGGCGATAAGACATAATTTTATTGACATAATGCTCCTGTTCAAAATCAAACTTAAATTTCTGATATAACCTTAACTTGTTTCTACCATCACCAGATTTACTAAATATACAATGAACTGATCTTATCCATTCATCTATCAATACATCCATTGCATTCTTCACAATTGTATCAACAACAACATTTTTATTCTGTGGTAATGTACAGTCACTAAAATCTACACAACCAAATTTTATAAAGAGGTTTTTAATCCTAAAATGCCAGTTGCTACAATTTCTACTTGCAAGGTTATAACAGTATTTTGATATCTTGAAATTTACTCTGTTTTGATCCATATTTGACAATTTACACCAAAAGTTACCGACACATTTCAATTGTTTAACAAAAGCAAAATAGCAAAATAACAACATATGCCAATCAGCAGCTATAAACATTTAATTCAGTCTAAACAGATGTGTTCCGATAGAAGACAAATGAAAAAAGGTCACGTATTGTGATGTTCATACACGGACATAAAGTAGTCGCCATAAGAGACCAATATAGATTATTTGAATCATTTAAAGTATATTGTAACAATAAAATAATACACTTATGATGTTCTAAGATGTACAATTTAGTTATGTCTCAATTTATCACATACTCTAACGCTGCGCTAGATACAAAGACTTTAAAGAAGCTAGCAGTTATTCTACAAATTTGTATTGTACAGTTTGAAATGAACTTTTTTTTCTCACAAAAACTAAAAGAGGAAGACCTCTTTAAAACCAAATATTTAATTCTGCGTATTCTAATATCTTATGGCTGTTTTTGTTAATTTCATATGTGCAAACATGACCCGAGTTTTGAGATTTTATTTTCCGAAAATTTATTGTGTTATAAAATATCAAATGAACTATGATATCTATAAATGTTTCTCCAGCTTTGATCTCCATGCAGTTGTGCTATAATATTCATGTACGGGCCTCATATTCATACATACATGTTTTTTTGTGAATAAATAAAACAGTTTCGCTAAAGCGTTTAATGCAGAGAGCTTCTCAGATTTTATGTTGCAACTGTCTTCATCAAAATGAGGTTTTCACTGTTATTTGTTTTTGTTTTTGTCATTGGAATATATAGTTATAATTTTGCTGAGGCTAGAGAGCCTGTATGTTCTAAATTTGCATATGAAGAACAGCTTTTAGAGAAAATGATAAGAACTGAAATTAAGGTAGAAACAATGGTAAATGAAAATAAGAAAACTGAGGATAATGTCATCAATACATTAGGCGACATTAAACAAACAGTTGCTGATTTTATGCACATGTTTGCAGATATGAGAGCAAACATTACGAACGAGATGTTAAAGAGAGGTGATGAGATAAAATGGAGAGAAGGTAAAACATGATCATCAAAGCTTTATTTCTTCAAACATAAAACATTTTATATTAAAACAGTCTTCATAAAATACAATACAAACTCTGAATCCGAAGTTGATTGCGTCGAATAATATACTACTTTAATATGCTTGGAATAATCAACGATTAAAAAGACCTTCATTACTATGTCTAAGTTTTGTATCAAATTTATTGTAAATCGATATAAATATTTACTTTTGAAATAAATTCTTAATTTGCTTGTCTTTTGTACAGTAAATCCTACTGGTGACCATTTGTCATCTTAACGGGAGTTAACTCACGTGATTTGACTAACAGTAATAAGAATCATCGTTGCCGCTTAGGCCCAATAACACATAATTATAATGAAACTGAACTTGTAATAATTATTTTTGTTATTTATTTATAAGTTTAGATAAGGTTTAAAATAATCTTAAGATAAATTTAGCTATAACGCAGTGAATATCACACATAGTCTAATTCCTACGAAATGAATATCTTCTGACGGAATATAGATACTTCCCATGCTTTCATAACGCGCTTCACACAATTTAAGACAATTATTGATTGATCGGAAAGATTAAAGCACACAAAACAATAAAGTAACATAATTAAAAAAAACGGAAACATCTAATTATTAACTGGTTAACATGTGAATTGCAAAATGTCAAACGGGCTTCCCTTTTGATCAACTATTCCCCAAACTTTTCAAAGTTGATTGGCGATAATCGTTGACGCGCATTATAGAAATTATCGAAGCATATGAATACCTGGTCAAGTGAATGTCAATGTCTTAATTAAAATTTGAAAGTAATAACAAAACAATTGAAACATTATTTCTTTCGAATATGCATATTCGTTTTTCACTGTTCGAATATTCGGTAGTGTTTTGAATATTCGAATATAATAGCAGGCCTTAAAATATTTTAATAATTCATATTTATTTGTTAATTTGAAGTACTAAGAGAAAAAACGTACAAAGCGATAAGATAAACAATAATTTTCGGAACTTTATAAAATTATTTTTGATTCATCTGAGCATGCAATGAAAGGCATTATCAAAGAACACATTTCTTACATTCTTATTTCTAAGTTTGAATTTTTTAATCAGATATATTTTTATCAAATTCGTGAAATAAAAGTGCTATTTATACAAAATATGGATTATGATTTGTGTAAAATGGAATAATTATTATAAAGGATATTTGATACAGGATCAAAGGTGATTAAATAAACTACAAACTGTGACTTTTATGAAAACACATATATCTCTTTGTTTGAAAATCTGTTGAAAATCTGTTGATATCAGCTATAACTTTTACAATACGGTAAATAGATTAATGCATATACAGTAAACGATATAGTGAATATATCTATTATATCATATTATAATATACCGTTGTTGTGATATAGACATAGTGAACATTTTTATGCAACGCGAGTCAAGCAATCATGAATGCGTATTTTGATCAAGGGGTCAGTGTTAGAAACAGATATGAAATTCTGCAAGAAAAAGAAAATAATATGCAGTCGCCTGATATTTCACGAACTGACTTTATGCACAGCTCTGTTGACAATAAGCTTGGATATATGTTTGATGAACTAAGGTCCATTAGATGTGAACAAGTTAACTGTAGACGAGGGATGCAAGATTTTCAACGGAACCTTGCCAACCTGAACGATAAGATGGGTCAAATCGTTAATATTTCAAATTCACAAACTGAATTTCTAAAATCCCTGGCATATAAGTCAATTGATTTAGAAGCGAGATCCAGGAGAAACAATCTGATTTTCAGAGGTTTCATAGAAAATAGAGACGAAAATTGCTCGATGATCATAACGGACTTCCTACAAAATCGTCTCGATATAAGCCCAAGGGATTAGTCTATAGCTAGAGCACACAGACTAGGTCAACTAGTTTTACACAAACAGTTTCAAAATAGACCAATAATAGTGAATTTTTCAGACTTTCAAGATGTAGAACTCATAATGAGTAAAGTCACCATGTTAAAAGGTTTGAAATTCTCAGTAGATTATGATTTTCCCCGTGAGATACAAGAGGCCCGATCCCGTCTCTGGCCACGTTTAAAACAGCTTAAAACCAGAAATCCAACCTCAAAAGTGAAGATAATATACCCGGCAAAATTAATATCGGATGGTAGAGCGATAGAGGATGGACTCCTAGAATGGAACATTTACATGAGAACCAATAGATTGCAACATCCGGATACACTGGGCACCAATACGAATGACAACCACTCGCAGCAAAGTCAAAGCACTCGACCTCAAATACCCATGGATGTTCAAATAAACTCAAATAGTAATGGCAATACACTAAGTCAGTTCAATAGCATACATGGACACGGTTTATCAAGTGTAAATAACTTACCGGGTAATGAGCCTATCCCATCATATGTTCATCAAGCGCCTAGTTACAGTGCCGTCTTAAGTGTAGCTGATAGTCACAGTACTAATCCAAACTTTAGTGTCCCGCCTCCAACAATCGATGCAAACAATACCTTCAATGTTGCTCCGCCACAAAGTCTCAATCTCATCCCTGCACAAAACACTGAGTTCCCTCCCTTAACTTTGAATCAAGGAACTACAATTGCCAATTACATGTATGCACATTCGCCCAGTCAAAAAGTTATGCAAAAGTCTGATCAGTCTACTTCACACATTCAACAAAGTGTGACCACCTTTACGCAGCAACCTATGAAAAACTTCTCCTCAAGTGACACCAATAAGCCTCCTAATGATCAAATCGTTTCAGAACAGATCCGAACATGTCACGTCAAACAGTCAGAGAAAAACAATTCCCATGATCATGAATCTTCGAATTCTTTTCATCCAGATAACGACACAAACACAGTTTTAAATATGAACAAAATTCCATATCACGACTTGTCTGAAAATACCCATTTAAAAACTGTAGTAGATTGCACAGAAAATACGGCATGTAAACAAATATTGAACGATAATACTGCAGTGAAAGAACAGTGTTCACCGTTGCGTGGGCGGTCTCGAAATGCACGTGCAACCACAAGGTCAGAAAAGCGGTCAAGTTCCGCTATACCATATAGGCGACAAAGTGTAAGTGTTACACGGAAAAAAGATCGGGTTTTACCAGATGCTATAAATAGGAATGACTCATTACAATCAAAACAAGGTCAATCGACAGATGAGCGGGTTTCTCGTGCAAACAGCGATAATTCTTCTGTATAGGAAACAAACCAGAAGGTCTCGTTACGATTAGCATTGTTAAATGTTCAAGGTCTGAAAACAAGACGAACTGATAAACTGAATTCAAAAGATTTAAAAGCCATTTTTCTTAATCATGATATTGTTTTATTCACAGAAACCTGGACATCCGAACAATCGGACTTGTGTGTAGAGAATTTTGAACATTTTGTATTAAATAGAAATTAAATTAAGAAAAATAGCAAAAGAGCGTCAGGAGGTATTATTATATATATTAGAAATCAATTTGTTCCAAAGTACACTTTAGTATTTCAAAGTAAGGATGATATAATTTGTATCAAAATCAACGCTCAAAAATTATTTTTACAAAATGATTTGTTTATTTGTCTTTGTTACGTTGTACCTGAAAATAGCAGTCGACAGTCAATGATTGAAACGCATACTTTTGATCGATTAACTGACTTTATTACAACTTTATATTCTAAGTATGAAAATGATTTAAATTTACTTGTCTGCGGAGACATGAATGCCCGTACATCAGACTACCCGGATTTTGTACAAGATGATAATTTTTTACACATGCACGTTTTACCGGATGACTATGTTGCAGACTTAGAGATTAAACGTTTTTCTAAGGATAAAGGCCATTTGAATGACAATGGTTTATTTCTTCTCGATATATATAAACAAACAGGTCTCCGTATATTAAATGGTCGTTTTGGAGCTGATAGAAATGTTGGTAGTTACACATTTGTAGGTAGTAGGGGATCGAGTGTTGTGGATTATGTTTTAACTACACAAAATTTGTTCCATTGTATAGATAAGTTTGAGATCTTAGAACCCAATATTTTATCTGATCATTGCCTTGTTGATTTTTCACTTGCATTCTTCGACACTAGTGCTTTAAATGATGTACATATTGTAAATAATGAGTCACCCGCAAGCGATAATTTTAAATATGTGTGGCATTGTGACAAAAATGAAGATTATATTGAACGATTATCATCCGCTGATATTATGTCAAAATTACACAGTTTTAATGAACATGTAAATACTTCTGTCTCGGCAAATGAGATAAATTTATGTATCGATGAATTTTCGAATATTATTTCTGAGGTTGCATCTCCCTTTGTTAAGAAAGAGGTAAAATGCGAATCTGGTTCTGTTTTTGATGTGAACAGTAATTTATGTTGTAAATGGTATACTGAAGAATGTTATGAAAAAAGATTAAATTTTTACAAATTGTTAAATTTCTTTAGAAAGGACAAGTCAGATTTTAACCGGAAAGCTATGGTCGCAGCCAGATCTCAATATAAGGCTTGTGTTAGAAAATGTAAACTCGAATATGACAAAAGAGAGACTGAAAAATTAAACAAGGCCAAACATAATAATGTTAAGTTATATTGGAATATGTTGAAAAAATGTGCTGGCGTAAGACAATCGAATATACCTGTTGATGTTTTTAAGAAATATTTTGAATCAGTCAATAACCCCGATGATCATTTTTTCCAACCTGATGAAGATGTACTGTTTTTTATTGAAAGATATGAGCAAAATGAATTTAAGATAATGTTTCAAGAATTAAATGGCCAAATACAGGAGGGTTGTATTTTAAAAGCAATTAATCAACTTCAATCAAATAAAAGTAGTGGACCAGATAAATATATTAATGAATTCTTTATACATGGCAAAAATGTATTATTACCTTTCTTATTGTCGTTATTTAATAAAATATTTACTTCGGGTTATTTTCCTGACAGTTGGTCAGAGGGATATGTTGTTCCATTACACAAAAAAGGCAATATAAACGATGAAAGCAATTATAGAGGAATAACACTGTTAAGTACCCTAGGGAAATTATTTACGCGGATATTGAATAATAGGTTAACAGAATGGGCGGAAAAATACGGTGTTTATGTTGAGGCGCAATCGGGGTTTAGGTCAAAAATGGGTACTACAGATAATATTTTTGTACTTCATGGTCTTATTAGTCATATGTTAAATAACGGGAAACAACTTTTTTGTGCATTTATTGATTTTAGTAAAGCCTTTGATTATGTTGTCAGAGATAATTTATGGTTGAAAATGATTAAGTTAGGTATTCGTGGAAACATGTTAAACATCATTATATCTATGTATTCAGCTGTTAAATCTAGAGTTAAATATTATAACCAAATAAGTGAGCAATTTCAATGTATGTTAGGTGTACGACAAGGCGAGTGTTTGTCTCCCTTTCTTTTCGCAATGTTTCTTAATGATTTAGAAGATATATTTATTGATAAAGGTTTTGAAGGCATCGATGTTCACATGTTTAAAATGTTTTTAATCTTATATGCAGATGATATTGTTATATTTGCAAATAGTTGTATTGAATTACAAAATAGTTTAGATGCATTATACGAATATTGTTGCAAGTGGAAACTTGTTGTTAATTCAGAAAAAACTAAAGTCATGATTTTCCGCAAAGGTGGCCGTTTACAAAGTAATATTTCGTTTAGTTATAATGGTAATCCTGTTGAAATTGTTAGTAAGTTCACTTACTTGGGTATTGTTTTTACAACCGGTGGTTCTTTCTCTGAAGCTCAAAGTACACTTGCTGGACAGGCCACAAAGGCAATATTTAGAATGAATAAGTATTTATTTAAATTTACAGATATATCTGTTAAACATAGGTTAGAACTTTTTGACAAACTTGTTTCTCCTATTCTTAATTATAGTTCCGAGGTTTGGGGTTTTATACCTGGGAAATCTATTGAAAGGTTGCACATGCAGTTCTGTAAAAATATGTTAGGTGTTAAGAAAACGACTCAAAACGATTTCATTTATGGTGAACTGGGTAGGCTTTCTTTTCAAAATATAAGATATTTCAACATAATTAAATTCTGGTTAAAATTGTGAATCTAAATGATAATAAATATGTAAGAAAAGTGTACCTTATGTTAAAAGAAGATATAGACAATAATCCTAATCACAAAAACTGGTGTTCTCTTGTAAGAAATTTACTTAGTTATCTTGGTTTTTATGATGCATGGCTTTTTCAAACTGTTGGAAACACAAATGTATTTTTGAATCTAGTGCAGCAAAGAATTAAATATCAATTTTTACAGAATTGGGATAGTAGACTTCAAATTTCTAGTAGAGCTACTTTTTATAGGTGCATTTCAAATTTTCAACTACAGCCATACTTAAGCTTAATTAACATTAGAAAGTATCGCATAGGTATTTCAAAATTAAGGGTATCGTCTCATAGATTGAATATTGAAATGGGAAGATGGACGAAACCTACATGCACTCCTTTGAATGAAAGAATATGTTATAATTGCAATGTCATAGAAGATGAATATCATTTTGTTTTAGAATGTGCAATGTATAATCTCATACGAAAGAAGTATATATCTTGTTATTATTGGCGACGTCCAAATATGTTAAAATTAACAGAGCTATTTAATTCTGAGAACTTGAAAATAATAAGAAATCTGAGTATTTTTGTCAATAAAGCTTTCGAAATAAGAACAAGCATACTTTTTAATATTCAGACATGAATTGTATCATGCATTAATCATTGTTATTATTTGAATCTCACATACAAAGGTTTATTAATTAACTATCAAACCGTTTTGTATTTAACGATCATCATATTTGCTATCAGAAGTCTTGTGTTTCGTTTTTGTAACAAGACTTCATTTTCCTTCACATAAAATCATTTTAAATTTTTGATATTGAGTATACTTTGTAATATGTTTTCTATGGATCTTTCACACTTTATCTTGATACTTTCGAACGTCAAGATAGAGGTAACTAGGATCTACGGATTGATTTTATAGTGACTCCTTAATTATTATATTTTGACAAGCTTATCTGGTAGTAGTTACCGAAATTATACTTAGATACGACGATCACACATTTTGCTTCTATTCTATTTGTGCTAGTGAATATATAAAATTATCACATGTTATTGTATTAAGAAAATTTATAATAATGTGCATTGCTTTATATAGAAATAAAATATTTGTATGCTAACATTTACTTCGGATGAATTGTAGCAGATAATAATGTTAAATATTTATCATGTACTTAACTGCTGATTTCTTTATGCATGTATTCATTTTATGTTAATATGTCGATTACTTGTGAATATATTGTCCTCGTGGGTCTATGACCTTCTGGAATTTACTTGAATAAAATCTAAAATCTAAAATCTATTTCAAAGGAATCTGGATTAATTATTATATAGCTTCTTCAAAGATAGGATGCTTATAAAACTGCCCACTGAATGACATAGAACTTAAGTTTTGTTTTTAATTGTAGAATCGTTCAAGAAATTATTTGACGTAATACGTAAAAACATCACTAGTGACATTGAGGTTCAAAAAGAGGAACTTATTCAACTTAAAGGTATTGTTATGTTCTAACCTGTGTAAGATAAAAGTATTTCAAACTGATTTGACAAATAAAATTATTTCTTACTTGACTCATGCTTTCACTCATTAGTGTATCACTTTGTCAGTTATATAAACAAACTAGGTCGAATAATCCTTTAAGATGCTCTTTATGTTAAAATGTGTAACTCTTAATAACATTCAAATGATTTAATTTGACTTGAAATATTCTATTTTTAATTTTTATTATCATTTAAACTCTATAGATATCAATCAATGTAAATATATGACTATGCTTTTGTCATTTACGTAGGTCACGTGATTTAGATATCTTATATTTATTTCTTTAAATGTATAAACACATTAAATCAGAGAAGCACTTATTCATGAAATCTAACTATCCGTGTGCACTATTAATTGACATTAATTAACCTGTAAAAACAAAATGTTTTTTAAATATCAACTAAAAATATTATTTACATGTTTAGGAAAACTTGAACAACCCCAAATTGCTTTCTACGCACATCACGTGAAAGATCTGGCTCTTGATTCTACAGATGAGATTCTCATTTTCGAGAAGACAATCACTAACGAGGGAACAGGCTATGACACGTCTACGGGCTTGTTCACGGCACCTGTTGGAGGACTGTACCAGTTTGATGTTCATACATGTCCTGATAAAGGGAAACATGTTTGTCTTGGATTGGTGTTGGAAGGTAAAGTTATTGCAGCACATGCTAACGATGCTGTTGATACCTATGGCTGTAATACGTTTGGAACAGTGATAATAGTTAAATCGGGAGAAAAAGTTTGGGTTAAATCAACATTGTCATGTTCTATTTGTCAGCTATTTCAAAACTCACGTAGTATGAACACATTTAGTGGAGTATTTGTCAATAACTGAATTATAAAATAAACCAATAAAAATTGATATGAGTAAAAATCTGCTTTCAGTCTTAGTATTTGATGTAAAACATGAACATTTTAATATATTGTTTTAATTCATTTTTTGTGACACATTATGATATCGAAGAGAAAATTTGTTGAAATCTATGTTGATGCTATATTATGTTAAGAATATTAATCCTGCAATTACGGATTTCATGCACAGGGATATTGTGTTCTATAGAAGAGAATGAAAAGATTTTATCGAAATGTTTAACAACAATGTAAGAAAAGCTTAAAGCAATATATGAATACTCGAGTTGTCTTTTTGTTTTGATATATCATTAAGGAATTATATTTCTTTTTATCATGAAGCATACTTTGGCTTTTGATATTTTGTGTACTTGAGGCATATGTCACGCTGTTAGTGTCATATGATAATAAAAAGCATATAAAATAGAAAAGAATACCACACTTTTTATGAGATTGCGCCAGTTTCATGAATGAGGCCGCTGTAAGCGATAACAGACTTCTTTCAGTTGCATTTCTATTAACTATCTTACTTTCTGTGGTGCTCAATGTGATATTAAATTGGCACATATTCGGCATTACATTTGCACTATTCAAGCTGTTATTTTGACATTCATTCGCTACGGAATATATTCTGTGTGTAAAATATTATTCTGTTTTTTGTTAGGAAAAGGATTTAAACAAACTAAATTCGATTCGCTTCGTATTTATACTTTGATTTACCAAATTGGCCATTAAAAAATTCTTTATATGGTGTCACTTTATAGGCGTCATTCACAGTAAAATGGTATTGTAAAACATACGGACTAGGGCATTTGAATCGAAAATAAGATCAATATTTTCTCTTATCCGGCACATGTGTGTGCTTAGGCCAGCACAATTGTCATCCGGTAAAAATATTTTTTCTCACCGACTATCATTACACATATAAATGCAGAAATGAATTTAATTTCATGAAATACCATGAAATGAATAAATGAAAATACCCTGAAATAGATTAGTGAATAACACATGAAAAAGATAAATGCATACGCCATGCAACAGGTAAACGCAGACACCATGGCATAGATAAATACAGACTCATTGAAAAATATAATTGCATGTACTATGTACTGCTTGCTAAATTTTAAAAGTACATTAGCATACGCTTTAACACTTTCATGGCACTGTAAGAATTTTTATATTAAGCTTTATAATGGCTTAAAGAACATTATATTCTTTTATCTCTTATTGTAATCCCTATTGTTTGTAACGGTTTATCTATTTCGGATAGACATGATTCACCAAACGAAATTCTGTTTATAATTGCTCAGCGCCAACAGGCTCCGCATTGTGTTGACTTTATATTGTCCATGGACTCGGTTTTTATCAATTAATCCCTTCGATTTACAGCTAAAAATAAATTCGGATGCAATAATTCCTTTCGATTTCAATTATGTAAAGTCATATATAGGTTTCCCATTCGGTGATTCGTAGTTTGTCATATAAATGGATGAGAACGGGAACAAATTTCATATATAAAAGTAGTATAAAAGACAAAATAAAAAAATAAACTTTAATTTTATAATTTATTTCTTAGATTTGTATCTTCTACAAGAAATTACCTATTGTTTTGTAGTACACAGTGGAGTATGTATGTTTTTATCGCTGTACATGAAAGCTATACATAGATATGACCTTCATATTGCGAAAGCCCGAAAATCTATTTACGGTCATTTCTTTCGCATTATGGTAATATAAAACGAACTGAAGAGTTTTGAAGTAAATGAAAAGCAAAAATATTCAACAGCACTCTTTGTACTCTTCATATAGCTTTTATATCTTTGACTCGCATAAAGATGATGTTAGTGATTTTCCTCATATATGTCTGACATTCGAGTAACAGTATTCAATTGATAAATAATGTGTCACTATATCAACATTCCATGCAAATTTATTCATGATTTTTATTGCTGTCAACGCGTATAAACAAAAAAAATCCTTATATTTTTCTTAATTCATCACAATTTTTCATTCCAGTGTGTGTACTTCTTCCAGTATTTATCTGGGACTTAGAATATTGCTATTGTATCTTAACTCCCAGGTATTGAAAGAAACCATTTTACTTAATTTGATATGGAAAAATGCATGTAATATTAAGTACTAGATTAGTCCCTTTTATTGCTATTTTTATATTCTGTTTGTATATATGTTACAATCATAATATTTTAAAAAAACAGACTTTGTTCATTTTGAGTTCCAAAGAAAATACATTTAATATTCTTATCTCTAGCAAGCCTACCAAAGTTCATGATGAACAATGTCTTTTGTCCGCCCATTCATCTATGATATACACGTACAAATGTGGTAAAATCCAATTATCCATTGAACAGTTTTATAAGAATATCTGATCATCAGATGCATACTATGTCATCCTCACTTGCTGCATGTCTTGCTTGGATGCCCTTTGATAATGTTCACTATTACTTAATCTAAATAGAAAATGACCTGTGCGCAGGAATGATTTGGTAAGGTATCTGTAATGAGCGCAATTCTTTTGCGCGGAGCTTCTCAATTGCTGCATTGCAGCAACATTTGTACTTGTATTATCATAATCTTTAATATAGTCTTATCCATACCTAACAACATATAAGATAATTGAACTACATAATTGTACAAGATAAAAATTGTTTATGTACGGTCATTCTACTCTGAATAACAAGAGACTGAAAAGTTATATAGTGAAAGGGAAGCAACTCCCTAGTTCATACTGCAAGTATTGACAATATTCATTTACATATATACATTACAGAGTCACCTCTCTTCCCATTCCTTGTTTATAAACGTACGTATTACAACTTAAATTTAAAAAAACATGCTTATCTTGTTCTGGAAGAATTTTCTTTTTTGCTTTGAAATAAACAACTAGCAATATTCTAAAGTTTTAAACAATTATCGTAAACAAATCTTGAATTTATTAACAACAGATTCTTAACCTGTAAAAACATTTACTTGATAAAATTTTTCTACATCACTGAAAATATAAAAAGTAAAATAAAATGAAATAAATGAATGTAAATATATATTTCCTTTGCCGAAAAACTGAGAAGCAGTTACTTATAATAAAACCACAAATTTGTATACGATATTCAAGATATTTAGAAAGTATGTAACAAATATCCAAGATTCAGATTTTATCTCCATTGTGAATCATTAGAAATCATTATGAATACACTGTGTATGTTATTATTAATAACGTATTTGTTTTGTATAGGTCTTGTCATATCAGACATACTCGGTCAAATATAACGCATGAAATGTTTGATGCACGTACATGCAGGAATAGAAAATAATAAATGAAATAAAAAAATACAAATAAAAGCAAATATTTTGAATGCTTTTCATAATATTTCTGTCATGAAATACTGGAGACAATTTCTAAACGAGATAATAATGCTAGTATAATGCGCCAAGTAATTACTCCAACGTCCCTTTACTAAATTGTACAATAAAAGAAATGGCCACCCAGTTGACGTTAAGACATTTTAGATTTATCGCATTGTGTTATTTTAATAATTTTTGAATTTGTTCACAATATGACAGATATTGACGTTCGTTTTGTAATTTGTTTCACATTCTAATGGAACTATCAATAATATATTAAACGCAAAACGTTAAATGTAAAAAAAATGTACCTAAATTTCATACGGAACAAATATAATAAAATTTGTCCATGGAAAAATGTTTTACGTTTAAAATGACGTCCATTCGATTTACTACACGTACCGTCATTTGAAGCTACGGCCACTACTAACAATTTAGCAAAGACGTTAGGAAATCCCTTCTTATATACATGCAATATCGTCAACAGTTTATAAATTGCTCTTTGCTCGTAAGCGCTTGTATTTTTTCAATATAATTGGCTAACATAGATGGTGATATTATATTTAGATAGTGTGTAAAAGGTTATTTACAATAAATGAATAATAAGAACATTTTTTCCACCTTGAACTGAATAAATAATCCTACTGTCAGGTAACTTCTTAATCTGTTAGAAGTGTAATTTATATCATTACAGGGGTTTTCACTATATTTACCGAAGATATTGTGACAATTTTATTTTATGATATCTGATACGTGTCAAGTTTTTCTTCTACCATTTAGTTCTATGTTGACACATTTTGTTCTCTGTGCTAGCTCTGTTTTTTCACTACTTGTATCCTTTTTAACAATTTTCTAATTTTTAAGCTTTTATCTGAAAGCTTTCTGCTTCAACATTATTCAAGTATGCAATATACTTTGAAGAGGCAATACAAAATTGTCATTATCAAAACAGTAATATAGGATAAAATCGGTTTAATATATAATTTCATACTATCTTAATCAAAAGCAAGTGTTTACAATGTTTACCTTTCCATAGAGATAACAATTAACTGACAACGAACCTGATAATATATAATATTGTTTCATATATTTTTCTGGTAACACCGCCTGTGTTATGTAAATTGATTAGATAAAATAAAATGAAGCCAGATAAAATTGCAATCTGTTTAGAATGTTCTTTTTTTAACAGGGTGCCGTAAAGATACACTTTGACTTTTTGATTTCTAACATCACGATTTTTAAAGTTTCTGCATGTTAACTGTGTGATATAAGCTGGACATATTTATAAACAAGTGATGCCTGGATAAAAAAAGATATTGATAATTGTTATCTTTTAATTCATTTCCTTACTTCGTAGGTCCGTAAGGAGGGCTTGCTTCAAACTAGTTAAATATGACTTAAACAACTCCCATATTTAACGGTTTAACCTATGGTCATGCCCTCTATCGAGTGACAGCACCACCACCACCATCACAGATAGTGATCTAGAGGTAGAACACTACTTTCAGAAGTAAAATGTCCGAAGTTCGAGTTTAGTAAATGTTCGTTTTATTTACTTATATTAAATGAGTCTTTAAGGCCCATTATACCCAAGACATATTTTTATTTGTTAACAGCTTTAAGGTTTTGGTGTCTGGTTATAATAACAAAAAAGTCACACATTACTAATTTTCTCCGCAATCTGTTGCCTCTATTGCTTTTTGGCAGTTAGTACTTTTATAATGATTTGGTAATTTGTATTGAAGTCAAATACTACTTTCTTTACATATTTCCTTCTTTAATGACAAAAGGTTCTCATTCAACAATAATTCCGTCTATATTAAAGTCATTAAATATACTCTAAACCCAGTCTGAGAACGCCATGGAACCCATGGGTGCTGTTTCTAAAGGTGGTAAGAACTTTTTCATTTCTAAGGCACTATATGCCTTTAAGTTATAAGTAAATATATGCAAAAGAAAAAAAACATGCACTTGTTGCAAAAATAGAAATCATGTAA